GACACGAATCCATTCACCATCAATGACTTCTTACGATTGTGGCATGTCACGGTAAAACAATTTGCCAACTTCCATTCAAGTTGCAGTACTTACCTAGCCGCGGCCACTCTTGTTAGGGCTAATGCAAGGCTAATGTAAAAGACCAAAGTGAAGCTAGCCGGCGTTACAGCCTTCGATTCGTAGCCGGCGTTTCAGCCGGCGTTTCGCCGCTAGATGGAACATAGCAACTGATTCGAGTACCGATTCGAAAACCCAAAAATCAGTAATTTAGCCAAAAAATATGGCAGGTGAACTTGAAAAAAGCGTTATGATAGCTTAGTACATCACAAGTCTACTACAAGTTTCAGATTTTACCTGCCGGATTTAATTAGGCCGTTGACAGCGGGCCTAATTAGGCATGAGAAATATGTGTACTCAGCAGTTATATCTGCACCAAACTGAACGTGGCCTTTAAAGACGGATTACGATAGTCAACAACCAAGGCTATATACACTAAAAGTATCAAATTCAATGGGTCGGATTTGATTAAGGAGGCACAAGGGTACTTACGTATGATATGGCTGAATTTCAAATCCTACGCCATCTGAGTGGGCTGCTGGAAAGGGTATAAAGTGAATCTGACGTCTAACAAAATGTGGCCCGTTAAATTCAAAGATTGATACTTGTAGCAATACACTTACTCTATGTCCTAAAGGTATGAAATTCAATGGGCCGGATTTAATTAACGTGGCACGACGGTACTTAATGAGTATGACAGGGCAGAATTTCAAATCTCCCGCCACAATTCACTGTCTACAACAAACTAATGCCGGCTAGCCAAACTAAACGTGATCCACTAACTCAAAAGTCGGATTACGATAGTCAACAACCAAGAATATATGCTAAAAGTATCAAATTCAACGGGCCGGATTAATTAACGTGGCAGGATGGTACTACCTTGTGGGAGCGGCGTTCGCTTCAAGGAGCGGCTAGAGCGGCGGCTTTTCGGGGATAGCCACTGTGGGGATAGCCGCGGTCGACTCGCGGGGAGCTGTGTATCCGCCGCGGAGAGCTAGTAGTAGCTGTGTCGCCTGCGCTAGAGGCTAGTACAATATACCACCACCCAATGATGCAATAAGCATTGCTTCGTATTTCAATTTTTCATGGGCCAAGTTTTATTAAACGTTATTCGATATTCGCAGATTTAGTACATTAGGTATGTATTTTTCGGGCATAGTTTCTATGGGACAATCCAAGTAAAATCTTCAACAGTGCATTGCGGACTCTGACGTCACTAACCGTTATCTCATCTAGCGGAAAAGGTGCAGTCTGTCTCTATTGTTTTATGGCATTTCATTCCTTGTGTGGTTTGAGATCATATCCGGATGCGATCATATCGGAAACAAGTCTAGAGGAAAAAGTATAATTTGTCAAAAAGTAGGAGCGGAAGGCTACTTTAGTTTTCAACAAAGAATTGAAGTTATTATTGCATGCAATGACTTTTCTTTTGTAAGGAACAAAATACCACCAGTCTAATGTTAGCAAAACGTAACGAGAAAAAACTATCCATAGTATAAGGACTACAACAGGCGCTTTAGCCTTGAGATAGACTTCTAAACCTCCCTAGCCATGGTGATCCATGTTGTCTCCTGCGTTTTTGGTTGCTTCGTGTCCTTCAGACAACGACTTTTTTTGCGTAACTTCTTAATACTGTCCTCTTCCTTTTTTTCTTGTAAAAAAGACTCGCAATATCCTCGACGGCCACCTGTTATTTTTAGCAAGGAAACACGGAACAATTTGATTTCTTCCCATATAACGTTTATAGTATACTAGTCTAATATATGGTATTTACGCATTTTAACTTCTAAAATGGTGTGCATCTGAATGTAATGTGTTTCCGAATCTTTATAATATTTCTTTCTTTTATTTCGCGGCATAACTATGATTACACAAAAACTGACGTCACGTACACCCCCATACCGGAAGTGGTACTGCCGTATCCGGTCCGAGTCTGAGAGCCGAGGCGTGTAGGCGTGGTTAGTGGCACGTATGTTTGTCTTTCACCGCTGAACATACCAGTCTGATCTTCAGGGCCGAACAAACGTGCAGGGGGCTCCCCACTGATCCACCATGGAAAAAACTACTACCCAACGCGTCCGCTGGATTTGCCTGTGCCTTGTTTTTGCTACAGCACTACACGAAGGTAAGTCGCAGTAGCGCCCCCCTCCCACGCACAGTTGTTATTTTTGACTTCCATCTTGTTCCTTCTTCGTATGTTCGTGCCTTGCGAAAATGTAACTTGCGCACGTAACTAAGAAAATGAATCTTCATCAACCTTGTGATAGAGGAGTGTACATGACACTGTCCAAAATTATCGTGTTTTTGTGTCTGGTAGATTGAGAATCACGTAGTAAGTTTTGTCAAATTTAAAAGAGGAATGCTATCAATCTTAATTTGGCTGGGTAGGGTAGGGTTGCTAATGCTATAGTCGCATTGTGTGTTTTTCAACCTACTCATTCAAATACAGGCACCACCTGTCGCTAACAGGCTCCAAGCAGATGTTATAAGGTGCGCTGCCAATCTCTGTACATGTCGCCTTCTCCAGCTGTGTAAACAAACCAATATGTAGTAGAAAACCGACGACAAATACACCCCACATCTGCTTGGAGATGACAACAACAATACTTCCTTTATGATTCAGCCCAAATGTCAAGTGCTGTACACCTACTCATTATTCAGCATGTTATGTTGACCAATGGCAGCCGTCCGGTCCCCTTTTATAGTAATTGAATTACTTTATTATAGCTGTCTACATTGTAGGGGCAAACCTGTTGAATTTGCTCAAAGATGCTAGCTTCTGCAAAACATAATGTTTTTCATGTCATCTGCCTTTATAAGCCCCCATGAAATTGTCACATGATAACATTACACAGTCTGTGGCTCATGGGCTATTTTTGGATGTCTTGACTCACTGGAGGCCAAAGGGAAATGTAAGGTCACAGTCACAGCATACATGTAGCAGTCAGCCACGAACATTGAATTTGTGATGCCTCAATCATTTGAGTATCCATACATCAGATTGATAGCACAGAGTTTGAGAAGACTTAATAGGTATCCTTTGGTGATTATCAAATGCACATGTTCATCATTTAAGGAGTAGAAGTATTTTGGGATGAATATGTGTATTTGGTGCAAGCTGCAGGCAAAGGTATAATATGAACATGTGCAATTGACAGGTGGACTAAAAGCTTGATAGGTACAAACACACAAAGTGAGTTGTCCCAAGGACATCTCATAGCATATGTCCTTGGCTATATATATTGTGGCAATGGGGTGGGTTTTAAGTCGTCTGTTGTATGACAAAGCCATACATCTGCACATGCATATCATATACACTAGTAATATGCATGCACATGCACACACACACACACACACACACATGCAGACAGTGTACACCCTCACAAAATACACACACTTTCCCTTGGCCTTCACGGGCTTCAAGAACCCATTTTTTTATCAAGATTTTTTCAACACACTTTATCAGTATGTAAGGTTAGGTATTTACCAATTGTCTGGCAGAATAGCCTGGGGTGAACTTGTTAGCATAGCAAAGAGGAATCTGTTGTAGACATCGTTGTTTGAAGGGTCAAGGTCTGGTCCAAGAACAAAGGAACACCTGGTCCTTCCCATGTGCCTTAATTGTGCACACCTCAGTGGCAATGATAAAAGGAGATTTAAATGTCTTAATGTTTTACATGTGTTGTTTATGAAGTGCTGTAGTAGAGTTCATTCTTGAGTTGAAGTTGAGTTCCATGTAGATGTCATATAAAAATTTACCCAACATGGGAAAATTACTGGTGTGTGAAATATTGTCTTAACAAAGAAAACATAATCTCTGTTGTACGATTGCTAATTGTACTGCAGCCTTAAGCATGCATTTTTAGAATGTGTCTGTATCATATTCTGTACTATGCATGAATTGATGATGATATTCAAGGCAGTGTCAATTTTTACGTGTAGGGTTACATATAGATATACATGGTAGTGTATTCTAGTGAGAAAGTTTTGGTTTTTAGGCATACTGAGTCATAGAATAGCAAAATCAAAGGGTATTATTCTACTTTCTATCTTAACAGTTTTGTAACCAGAATTTGAAAACCAGAATTTGGATATTTAGCAGATACAGTTTGTACTTGTATGTAACTGATACAGGTCAGGCATACATAATGAAGAGCTATGATTTAATTTTGAGCCTGTGGCACCTGTGTTGTTTTTAGGCCTACCCCCTTCTGTTCGCAGCAAATATTTATGAGGCTCTTGAGGGGGATATGGCAGCAAACATAACCCAGAATCCAGGCTGTTACTGTGTAACAGGTGTCAACCATGTAGCCATAGATACCATTGTAGGCAAGGGTAAAATGTGTCACACATGTACCTGACATGTACATAATAGCTGTTGTCTTTCCAAAGGAGGTTACTTTTCAACAGCCAAGCATTGATGTATTTTTTGGTCCTTTTGCTGATAAAAGCACATCCATAAAAGGGATAGAATTTTTTAATCCCTTTAAATTAAAGACATTCAGGTTATAACTGCTTGTCCTATGCAAATGTTGGTAGTTTTGAGACAACATTTGCTTCAGTCATAAAAGTGTATAATATAATATAATCAGAAAAAGTAATATATGGTATAAGATATATTTTTTTACAGTTTCTGTGTCCCATTTCAGTAACAGGTGTTCCAGTAACTGTAACAGATTTATGATTGACAGTTTCTGTGTCCTGTGTCTCTGACAGGTGTCCCTAGCCGTAACAGATGTGAAGTTGACAGTTTCTTTGTGCTGTTTCTCTGACAGATGTCGCAGCACCTGTAACAGATATGTGATTGACATTTTCTGTGTCCTGTTCCTCTGACAGGTGTCCTGGCAGCTACAACAGATGTGTTTTATTGACAGTTTCTGTTCCTCTGACAGGTGTCCTGGCAGCTGCAACAGATATGTGAGTGACAGTTTCTGTGTCCTGTTCCCCAGACAGGTGTCCCAGCAGCTGTATCAGATGTGTGATTTATAGTTTATGTGTCCTGTTCCTCTGACAGGTGTCCTGGCAGCTGTAACAGATGCAGACACCGGTCCTTTCATCACAGACTCCCTGGACGGGGACATGTTAGAGTTGAGGTGCACGGCAGAGAAACTGAGCGACCCGACAGCTACCATCACCTGGCATCAGGACGGACCAAACGGGACTGTGGTAAAGATACTTTAACCAGACGTGTGGTTTTGGGCTTATGTGTTTCAGAGACTTTTCTGCTCAACCAATGAAACGAAAGCTTTAAAAATATGAAACTTATTACCATTGATAGCCTTTGTTTTCATTTTATATTGTGCTTGGAACAAATGGAATAGTCTGGGTACCATCCACTTAGTAACAGGGCTCCTTGCACTCAGTTATTTTTATAAAATTAGAAGAAAGAAGGCGGGAAATCTGAGAACCATGAAGTTGAATTGACATAATCTTTTTGTGTTTTTTTTACTGCCTGTAGCTAGCTTTTGCCATCAGCAGTGACGGAGATGCAGCTGCCGGCACTCTGAAGTTCACAGCTACCACGTCATTCAACGTGTCAGGGACAGGGGCAGTAGCCAAGGACACAACCTACGCCTGCAAAGTAGTATTTGGGGCAACAACACTGTGGCAGGCTGTCGTTACAGGTAAGGTTTCAAATAAATGTACAGACCAATATATGTAAGTAAAAGGTTAAATTGATAGTTTATGGGTCTCACTGAGCTGAATCTCATGTTCTCAACAGTTATTGTAAACTATCCTGCTCCCAATGTCTTACCATATGACGTATGGTCCATAAGTCATATACATGTGTAGTAAGACACTGTAAATGGAAAATAGGGGGAAAAGGAGATATTAGTTTTACACATGAAATATCATTACACCCATGTTTCTTTTACCACTATAATAGCCATCCACTGCCTCTGCCTCAAAAAAGGCTATTTAACTACAATGTACCATTACCTTTTTATAGCAACTAACTGCTGTCTTGTTAATTACCCACCGTCTTGCAGGAGACCCCACACCCAGATCCCTGCGTCTGACACCTGACCGTGCACAGCTGTACTATGGAGACATCCTGACCCTGGCCTGTCCTAACTATGGCTCACAGACAGACCCGGATACACTGCCTGCTGACCCACTCACTGTACCTTCACCACAGGTTTGTATTGCACTGTTGGGGGGTATTTGGGCAAATATTATATAGTTAGGTGGCTGCTGACTGTTGCAGTAGTCATTGACTATTGTCTAAACTTGACAAGACCAGACAAGATCTGTTCATAAGTACAAGTTGCCTACAATTCAACATATGTGTGTATGTAAAAGTTCAGGTTGAAAGTTTTTTATGGTATGGTTACATTGGATATTGGTTACATTGGATATACAGATACAGAAGCTGGTGTGTTACACTGAAGGGTGGTTGTACCGGCTATACAGATACAGAAGCTGGTGTGTTACACTGAAGGGTAGTTGTACTGGCTATACAGATACAGAAGCTGGTGTGTTACACTGAAGGGCACTTGTACTGGCTTAACAGATACAGAAGTTGGTGTGTTACACTGAAGGGCAGTCGTACCTGCTATACAGATACAGATATAGGTACAGATATTAATTAAGTTCCAAAGGTTTAATTTTCCACTTCACGTGACGTCCCACAGGTTGAGTGGCAGGTCAACTCCACAGATCCCTGGACAGGGGCCCTACCAGCAGGGGCAAGTGTAGAGGACAGCCAGCTCATCATTACAAACCTGGATGATTCTCACATTGGAGAGTAAGAAATGTCTTATTTTTTCTACTAAAAAGGTTGGTAAAGGTAATCCCATGTCCTTTTTGAAGCTGTAGTGGCAGTGGGTTGTTAATCCACAGTGTCTAGGACACAGTATTGGAAGGTGCATTCAGAGTTTATACCTTAGCCACCACCTTTTACCTCCCCAACTGAAGTCAGGTACCCATTTTACAACTGGATGGAGAGGAAAGCTCAACAATGTTTGAGAAAGTGCCCTTCCCTAGGACACAACAGCTAGCCAGGAAATTCAAATGCTAGACTAGACTAGCTTGTACAGTGGTTAATAGTAAGATAAAAATGTATCTTTCATGTAGAAAAGTCACTGTGCTTGCTTGGCTATAATTGTTTTTGGTTGACACTCTACTAGCCAACTCTACTTAATCCACATTGTCTCCTCTTCACAGGTACTACTGCCGTTCCACCAACACTTACAGTGCCAAGTTTGCATTTTACGATGTTGCCGACTTGATGGTGGCCCCTATAACTACAGCTGCCCCAACTACTACCCCAACTTCAGGTACACTCAGTAAGTTAGCCTCTTGGAACATATTGGTTTTCATTGGACTTGAAGGGCTTCTTGTTAGATATTTGATGGAGTGAACCATGGTTCTTAAACATTAACTGGCATCCAAAGATAGTTCCACTTATTTGAAAAAAAGTTAGTGTGTTGGAATAAAACTATGTAAAGGGCACAGTAAACTGTATGTCAAAAAAAAGTATGTAAACACGATTACATTGTATTTTAGTTTCAAGAGCCATAAGCCAGACATCTATGCAATCAAACAGTTGATGAAACCTTATGTTGTAAACTTGTTGTTGCATTATAAAGAATATATGTTTTGAATTAGAAATATTTGCTATGCAATAAATTGAAAGTGAGTCCAATGTATTTTTGCCAAATATTGCATCATCAGTGTTCATATATATGACTACATGTATTAGCATATATGCTCCAGAAAAGTTTTTTTATGAAGACGAAGGAAAGCTTTTGGGTTTAAGGTCAAAATGAACAAATGTCAAAACCTTGAAACCAGGTACACTGACAGTTTTTTCTTTATTTTCTATCCACAAGATAATACAGGTGCTATAGTAGGAGGGGTAATTGGCGGCATAATTGCGGCCATCATTCTAGGTGTTTTGGCATACTTTGGGTGTCAACATTACAGCAAATCACAGTAAGTACCAGGTATTCACAAGGAGCACTTTTTAACTCCTTATAAAGGACAAATAAATTTCAGTTTTTGTGCCTTTCAACCCAAAATCTTATTCGCAAAAAGTGATCCATTGGTTTTTACCAGTCCTGCACACATAGGGGTGATATTTGACCCAAATCAAACGTGAACATGGATTTGGGTCAAATATCACCCCTATGTAGGCGGGACTGGTAGAAACTGATGGATCACCTTTTGCAAATAGAATTTTGGGTTGAAAGGCACCAAAACTGAAATTAGTTTACTTGTCCTTTAAAGACACCTTTTTCAAGGAGTGTTTTTTCTGACTTGATGCTGATGTAGTAGGTAAATGAATGTACTGTTACAGTATTGGATACTTATTTTGTTACTGTCTGTATCTTATACTATATTATCTGTGCTTGTGTGTGTGTGTAAAACGACTGACCTGTACTTTGCCAGATTGGGCAAAAATGTACAATAAAGGTTTTCAACTATCAAAAACCTGTCACCTTTCAAACTCTCTTTTTGTTTATGTTATAACTTAATATGTGGATTTTTGTTTTGTTGTGGTATGAATTTAAAAGCTTTCTTTTGTTTGAGCCTTTATTCGACTTTTGATAAGTTTGTCTTTATCCTTGCCTTTTCCATACATATAACTTGTTCATTTTATGCTTTTATTCATTTCTCTTCTTGACATTAACACACCAGCCCCTTGCATGTATTGTTACCTACCCTAAGACCAGTTTTCGTTTGTTAACAGGAGAGAATCTGCGAAGTACACTGCGGCCGCGTCAGACCCAGTGTAACTGACTGAAGATATCTGATGACTAATAATAACAAGCCGTCAGATCTATCTTTCAAGGCCTTAATTCAATGTTGTCTATGCACATAACATATTTGGCTTGTAACTGTAAAATGAAGTACACTGCGGCCGCATCAGACCCAGTGTAACTGACTGAAGATATCTGATGACTAATAATAACAAGCCATCAGATCTATCTTTCAAGGCCTTAATTCAATGTTGTCTATGCACATAACATATTTGGCTTGTAACTGTAAAATGTTAAAAGAAAAACTTTTTAGAAGTTGAATACCTAGAGAGCTTAAGTGTAGTCATGTTATTGCAAACGTCAGCTTTGGAGTGCATTTGGTGTAAAATTTTGTCTAGACAAACTCTATAAGTTTTGTCATTTTGTAATGAGTGCAAACCTTTCATCAAAAACCTACATGAGAATTGTAATATTTGGTTTGGCATATTTTTAGAAGCCTTAAGAGCAGTGTTTTTGTTACGAAGAGGAGGTAAAGTTGGTAAAGCCTACATGTATGTGTTAACAGTTTGCAACATTTTTGCTCAGGTCACACCAACTTAATGACTTTGCTCAATAATGAGGTGCAAAACAGTGAAATTTAAATAAGAAGGACAAAAATCAAGAAGGGGGGAGTTGCACATCTTTGGTGTGACAAAAACCCATAAGTGATGATATAATAGTTTATTCCAATATCATTACTGTAAATACAGTGACTGTACTATCAAACCTACAAGTGCATTGCATATTAAATATGAACATAATTGTGGTAGATTTTAAGTAGTGGTAGGGCAAAAACTATTACTAGTACATGAAACCCCATAGCCTTAGAGAGACAGTAGTCAAATAATCTTAACTACCTTGCATCGTCAGTGACGTCTTCAGAGGAAATATAATGATTTAATCATTGTCAAGTTAATGCAGCTTCACTTAGACTGCTTAGTGCTAGCTGTCATTAGTAGTAGAAGGTGATGTTGACTGTATGTTGATCTTTTGTCAGTAATTCTTTAATTTGATGCGTAACAATCCATGTAATAGTCACCTTGTACCCAATACGATAATCTGGAAATATTTGCAGTTTACAACATTTTCTACATATTTGTGTGTGCCAACCATGAAACATTTCATGGCTAATACACAGATGCTGCTGCTTTGTGTATTAGGGTCCTGTTTCACTATGCTGCCTACAGAGTAAAATTGCTGGTCCACACTATTTCCACATCTTCTTGAATTGACTTGTTTACTGTATAGTGTATTTGTTGAACTTAGTGGATTGAGTGAAATCTTATTAAAAAAAGTTATCGGTAGTCCTGCTCTGGCATTGACCTACACTGTGGTCAGAGAGAAAGTTATGGTCCCATCACTGAAAACGGGCTCAGAATTCTCATCCATCGCTTGAACATCTTTGGTAACATCTTCCAACTAGAGTTCCCCGATCTCATACCTTCGCCAAATGATGTTAATCTTTATGACTGACAAATTATAGATTAGATTATTCCCCCCTGATTTAAGAAATAGGAACCTAATTTTCATGAATTATATCATTTTATCATAATCTCAACCAAAAAAACAGTCTTATATTAACAAACTATGCATTCTAGCATTTCCTAATAAATTATGCAAATGAGGTCCTGATTTGAATAGATTATGTTTAATGATGTTCACCTCAATTTAACTTTCAAATACCACAAGTATGAAATTCCAGGCAGTTATCATTACATAATTATAAAATTTTCTCATTAATTATGCAAATTAGGTCATTATTAACATAATCAATATCTTCCTGTGTTTCTCTCGTTGTCAATTACCAATGTCACAAGCTTTAATTGTCCTATCATGGAATGCAGCTGATTTATAGAATTTCCCCATGAATTATGCAAATTATATCCATGTTTGCATAATTGTCACATAATTATATGAAGGATCACGTAAGCTACCTACATACCAAAAATCACGACGATCCGTCAACCGGTTCTTGAGTTATCCCCTTTTGAATATTTTCAAGAATATATCGCTGCAGTTCCAGAGCAAGCCGCTAGGGGGCCTAAACTCACATCACTTCTTCCCCAGCACAAGAGCTACCTACCAACTAAATTTCATCACCATAGCATGTCTAGATCATGAGATATCAAAACCGGAAGTTCAGCTGCAGTACCATAACAAGCCGCTAGGGGGTCCAAAATCTAATCATTTTGAGGTCTCATCAAGACCTACCCACCTACCAAGTATCAAGACAATCCATTAAGGCCTTCTCAAGTTATCGTGTTGACAGACACACACACACACACACACACACACACACACACACACACACACACACACACACACACACACACACACACACACATACACATACACGAACGCCCCTGAAAACATAACCTTCTTGGCGAAGGTAATAATACCTTTATCTCTTTCATGGGTCTTCATTACTGTGGCCAAGACCATCACAGCAATCTCACCTAACTTTACCTTACATCTCTTCTCATCAGCCATCCATTCAAACTTGATATTACTTGCTCAAAAATCTTTCTCTATTCTTCACTTGTCTCTCTGTTCCAATAATTTCTAAACCTAGCAAACAAGGTGTTTCCCCAGCCCAAGTGACAATGCCACCACTCAGCATTGTTACAAAGTTGGAGCAACACTAGCCTCCTGCACAGACCTTTGTAGCAGCCTGGGTTTGCTTCTATGAGCACTGCAGTTTATTTTCACTGGGAGAGCAGTACCCTTGGTGGGGGTGCGGTCATATCCGGATAGCTTTATCAGCTACTGTAACCCATCTAGGCTAGTGCAGATAAAGCTACCCTGATACAGCCTCCCCGCTGATACAGCCCTCAAAGTTCGGCACGTATAGAAACAAATGCAAACTGCTAAACCAACACCTGGTGTGGTTACTTCCCTGTCTATCATCTCTTTCTAACTGTAACCCCCTCTCCTCTTCTTACCTACATGTAGGACAGCAAGAATTTCCTCTCAGCCTGGCCAATCAGATGAAGAAGGGAAGTTGCAAAGTAGTTGAACAGCTACAGAATGATGTGGGGAATCAAAGGTCACAGCAACAATCATGGAATGTCTGTCGATTCCTCCTTTCCCTTAGTGTTGATTTAGGCCGTTTCTGCTGAGCAACCAAAAATGGGTTTATGACTCTTGATTTAATAATTAGAATATGATGCACAATACGAAAGTATGATTTAACTGATAAAACACAAACATTTAAAAAAATTGTTCTGTGAATTTGTTCAATGATCTGTCAAATGGTTGCTCAGCTGTAACAGCCTATAGTGCGAGGCAGGTGTTAGGACTTAGGGATGGTTGGGTGGACCTTTTTAGCCACAGGGTTTCCCCTTTTATAACAGAAGTGTATAGAGTATATCTTATTCATGTATTTGGAGGTAAAGTGAGTCAAAAGCCATATTTGTCCTTATGTTGCAGAAGATATCCCAAAGTAATGTATTATATACTTTTTGTATTGTACTTCTTGCTATTAACTGCATATAAATGTACAGTTTATAGTAACTGTACAGTTGACTGTACAGTTAACAGTTTATAAATGATGTGAAGTCTGATGATATTCATCTATACAAATGGGACAACTGTTTGGTATTTGCACAATCCCCAGAAACAAAATCAAAACAAGAGTTCCACGATCTCATACCTTCGCCAAATGATGTTAACCCTTGCGGTTAACATCATTTGCATGGATTATATCAGTTGATCATATTCTCCACCCAATGGCAGCCTTATCTTAATAAAATAAGCTATTCTAGCACTTCCTCATAAATTATGCAAATAAGGTCATCATGTGAATAAATTATCTTCATTGATGTTCACCTTCACTTAACTTCCAAATGCGGCAAGTATGAAATTCCCAGCAATTACAACTATGAAATTATAACAATTTCCCATTAATTATGCAAATTAGGTCTTCATTTACATAATCTATATCCTCAGATGTTTTTCTAGTTCTCAATTACATGTCACAAGTGTTTCATAGTCCTATTATCGAACGAATCAGATTTATAGAACTTCCTCATTAATTATGCAAATTAGCTCCTGATTTGCATAATTGTCATCTGATTATGTCAAGCATCACTTCAGCTACCTACATACAAAAAATCATGACAATCCGTCAACCGGTTCTTGAGTTATCAACCTTCTGAGATTTTTCAAGAAACGCTCCTGCAGTTCCAGAACAAGCTGCTAGGGGGTCTAAACTCAGGTCACATCTTCCCTACCCTAAGAGCTATCTACCAACCAAAATTCGTGACCCTAGCATGTCTAGATCGCGAGATATCAAAACCGGAAGTTCTGCTGCAGTACCAAGAAAAGCCGCCAGGGGGCCCAAAATCTAATCATTTCTAGGTCTCATTAAGACCTACCCACATACCAAGTTTCATGACAATCCATATTAAGCTTCTTGACTTATGCTGTTCACAGACAGACAAACAGACAGACAGACAGACAGACAGACAGACAAACGCTACTGAAAACATAACCTTCTTGGCGAAGGTAATAACCCCTGGCAGCAAACTGCATACCTGTTGTGTAGAACTTCCAAAGACAAGACTCAGTATAACAGAACATGGCACTGTACATGACAGATACCACGGATTCATTTCAGCCTTCTAAGTTAGCCATTTGGCACCAAATTGAAGTTTGTATTGGTTATTGTTTTAGGCAGCAAGAGAACTTCTGAACACTGCATTGTGACATTTGAAAGTCTGATCACTGACAATCTACAATGTTTAGGATCTTGACAGTTGAGATACATTTCTATAGGTCATACTATTAATTTGAAATGGGTAACTTTATAAACACCCATCGTAGTTGAAATGACGTCTACTGGACTGTTTAAAGCAGAGCAAAAGATAATCACAGCTGCCAAAGATGTTACTTTATGATATGTTATATATTGATGTTACAGATTTATGCTGACTTAAATAAAGAGCTACTACTGTTGGTCAAAAATGTCTGATAAAACAACACACATGTCCACGGTTCTGAGTGATGTCCACAAGCCTTTATTCCACAAGCTGTCACATCCTTTCTAGACCATTTTAAAACTTTGAGTAAAAAAGTCTAGATTTTGTAAATATGCCAGATAATAGAAAGTACAACGGAATGTAAATGAACAGCTCTCAAATATCATTTCTAAACAATTCTGAACAGAATTTTTTTTTCTTCCATGAGTTGGCATGATTTGATACTGACATACCTCTTTTAATTGCAGAAAAAGTAGCTTCTTTACAAAAATAACCCTGAACAAATAAAACCAGAGGGCGTGTTTTGATCAGTTACATCATTTTTCTTTTTGAAAACTCCACAAAATTGTTGTCTACAGGAACCATTAAAAAGTCATGTAGAAATGAAACTAGATAATGATACCCTTTCTCTTGGGGTATTTCTTAAGGCATAAACTATACAAACGTACAAGTTGCCAGCCTGCCTGTTAATGTTATCTGTAAGACTACAGCATACAGTGTACAGTCTGACATGTGAGTGGAGGACATCTTGTGTGCGTATGAGTCGGTCTAGATGAGCAGACGTTCGATGGCTTGCTGCACGGAGGTGATCTGAGACTTCAGCTGTGACCCCTCGTTGATGGTGACCGAGGCGGCGATCACGGGACGGGAAACACCGCAGGCACGTCCCAGGGCTGACAGGAATACACATAATATTATCAATGTTAGTTTATAGCCCTAGGAAATTGATACATAAGCATGATTGAATTGTTGGTGAAGGTTAGACATACAGGTAATAACATACAGGTAATAACATGCGCAAAAAAAACAGTTACTCAAGCAACTGGATATGATTTTGGAAACGGTCAGATGTTTCAGGTAGCATCCACTACCTTTCGTCAGTGACTTTTTGGCGTATGATTGAATTGCTTTACTTTTGCACCACTGAATTCTATTATGTATTTATATGTAAACTTGAATATTACTACACCTACACTTTCTTCACATTACATCTAATGTACAATGTGATGTACAATCAGGCATCATGGTAAGTTTGAACAGCTTCTGATACAATTCAAAACCTACCATACCTATTCCTTTATAGAACATGTTGCAAGATCACACCATCACACATGGTTTGCAAATCTTGTACAGCATGCATTGATGAAGGTTAGACATCCAGATGATAAAGCAAGATACCAACTAACAGTTACTTGATAGATTTTGAAAACAGACTGATCTAACGTTAACCATTTTCAAAATCTATCCAGTTGATTGACTGCTTTCATATCTTCTACAGCATGGTAAGCAGAAGTTCTGATACTGTCTCACCTTGCTTGGACCTGACAAACACGTAGGGCACGTTCTTGTCCTCACACAGCAGAGGTAGATGTAGGATAATCTCCAGGGGTTCTGTGTCCGCTGCCATCACAATGAACTCAGTGATACCTCGGTTCAGGGTCTTAGTGGCTGATGGAAGAAAAGAAAAACGAGTTAAAATTGTCCAAATACTTGACATTTAACTCTCTACTTGCAGCATTAGAAGGCAGCATATTCTGACCTGTGTTTCAAGGAACACTGTAAAGGATTTGCTTCAGTATGGAGCACAACATCAGCTAAATTTGGTGCCTTGCGCTCCAATGTGCATTGTTGTAAGTTGAATACATATGTACAATGTATCCCTCTTCCAACATCTTACATACTGTACAGAAGTTACATATACTAGTACTCTTGCTGTGCTATAATAATGAAATAGGAACTATCAATATATCAGAATACCCCATCCCTACCCTCGTTGGCCCCCTTCCTGAGCTGTTTGTAGTTGGCAGCCTGCTGTACCAGGTCCAGGATCTGGGTTGTCAGCTGGGCATCAGCCAGGGGGTACGCCTTAGGGTTCACCTCAGCCTAACATGGACAGTACATAATGGAAAATAGTTGGCTTAACGATCTCCCTATTGCATGTATTGCGGTAGTTTTTAAACACTGAATTTCCATATGGAAAATAGTTACTAGTAGTTTAACATACCTGTTGTGGTAGTTTAAACACAGAATTTCCGTACTGTGATTGAAGTTTAGCCGCAGGGAGAATGGACTAGAATGCAGACTTTGATGCATTATGTAGCTCTTTCCAAAGTCACATTTCTTTTAATAGAAGAAAAACTAACAACTCTCAGGTTAATGAAGGTGTTGTTCTAAATGTAGAAAAGCTAAAGATCACTAATCAAATTATATAATTATATGACCACAAACTTTTGGCTAAATATGATTTCTAATTGTGAAGAATGTAGCTTATTAAAGAACTGAGAAATTAAAGTTTGTACTCACCTCAGTTGCTGCAGACTGTGGAATGAAGCAGAAAGAAACAATTTATTAATTTACAGGACGTTCAAAAAGATACATCAACATGTTCAAGCCTTGACAACATCTTCCCATAAATTTGTTTATGAATATCATGAATTACTTCAGTTGACTAATATCCCTTGGGATACAACATTGTACAACATGCCATAAACCAACCGTTTACTTAATAGCACTACTGTCTAGTATATCATAATTGATACTAGTATTAAAACGAAGGCAAAAAAATTACTAGTATTCTGTAGCTGCCCCCCTCCCCCTTTGTGCAAGCACGTGTGAGTACATGAGTGGAGCGCCGGTCTGGTTGGCGACTTTTCGGCAGCAGTTTGCAAACCATTCCGGGGGCGCTGTGACCCGAAACTCATACGAAGTGATCACAACTATACAAGCTTACCATGACGAGTTCTTCTGGTGTAGCAGGTTTTGTTAAAATGTCAAAAATCGAGGGGAAAAAGCTTCGTCCTCTCAGCTGACGCCTCACGGAGGACTCAGCAGCGACGCACAGGAAACGGAAATGAGCTTTTGGGACGGGCTATTCTGAAAGGAGGGGCGTAAACCGGTTAAAAAAGATCGTCTTCCGTAAATTTGGTAGCTATTAAACAAAAAAGCTACTAAATACAAAGTATGATATAAGTTTAGCTTATCAGTCTAATTAAATCAGAAAATTCTCGAAAAATAGTCGTCATATAAGTTATGAGTCCAAGCATGAACCTCCTTGGTCCAGGATGTTATAATGGTTTCATCTTCCTTAGCAAATCCACTTCTAAACCACAGCGAAACGATTAAAAATATCACGAAAAATCATAAATCACAATTGCAGCAAAAACAAATAGAAACAGAATAGCAACTTTATTTTAAATAGTGTTATCTATTTGTTTGTAATCAATATTCCGAAAACTAATGAGTAAAACAATGACATAATACGACTGCTGCTTTGCGTTCTTGTGTGATGTTCGCGCCATTTCGAGTTTTCAACTGGACCTGTCAGAAATTTTGTGTCAGCCTTGGACATTTTGCGAGTCAAATTTGCCATCACAATTCTGTTTGAAATTGTTTGTACCTTTGGAGTATCTATTCGGGTGGCACTGGAAACATTTACTCTCGTCACGAGCTAAAACCTGAGGTATTTGAAGCGACATATATAACACCTCAGTCGTGCAGACGACAACATCGGCTAGCAGACGACATTTTGTGATTCGACACTGCGCCTTTTGTTTTCGGATTTGCTGAACAGTTTTTGACAGAAGTAGCCATAAAGATGATGCATCAGGACCAGGTAGTGGAAGAACAACTAGGGAATGAAGACGATGATGTAAGTTTTATCGCTCTATTTCTTATTTTTATTTTCCTAAATTGCAAACTCTTTAATATGCGTGTTGAACATGCATCAGCAGGCAGAAAGAGGGATGCCATCTGAAAGCTTCCATGCATGCTGTTAAATATCGTAATTAAGTCGTGTGTTTTATATGTTATATATTTGAAGTCGAGAGCACTGTTGTCTAACAAAATCTGAGGGTTTTTATATGTCTTACCATTTCTTCTCGTTCATAAGTCTTCATGGCCACTTGTTACTGCAGGATTCCTTCTTCCAAGACATCGACATGTTACAGAACCACGGCATCAACGCCGCGGACCTGAAGAAACTCAAGTCTGCAGGCATCTGTACCATCAGGGTAACTCCGAAATGTTTTTTTTTTTACTTTCACCGAAAATTAAAAGTATTGGATTGTTTTGAACAGTCTTAACTTCTCATTAATTATCCTGATGAAGGCGACAGTGTTCGCTGAAAATTTGATCTGTCTGTACTCGTTGTGTTGGACTAAAGTTCAACATTTCAGTAGTGTTAACTTCTGTGTGTGTGTGTGTGTGTGTGTGTGTGTGTGTGTGTGTGTGTGTGTGTGTGTGTGTGTGTGCAGAATACAATGTATGTCATTGTAAAGTTTTTGACAACAATTTTTGTCATTTACCATTTGTGTAACCAATACTATACTATACAATACAGTGCAATACATACCATATTGCACTCTACAGGGTGTTCAGATGACTACAAGGAAGAGGCTGTGCAACATCAAGGGTATATCAGAGGCTAAGATGGACAAGATAAAAGAAGCAGCTGCAAAACTGGGTGTAAGTTAAGCAGTGATAACAATTCATAGGCAATATCATGAAAAAATAATGGCAAATATGTTAAAATTAATTGTAATTCATAAAAGTTCATGGTATACGACACATAGTCAAAGCAATGCATCACAATGTTTTATTAGGAAATTAGGGCTTTATGTATATTTACTATTTCAGCATTGAGATTTATTGAGTTTCTTCAGATATTTTTTTCTCACCAGGATGCAGGTTTTATGACAGCTCTGGAGTACAGTGACAGAAGGAAGACAGTCTTCAAGATTCAGACTGGCAGCTCAGAGCTGGAGTAAGGAACAAAATATTATATTAATATTCTTAGGAAAATGACTCATGTATGGGCTTGGAGTTGCTATGTCAGTCTCAGAAAAAATCAAATTGCTACTGCACATCAACAATCTTGTTATGTTAATGTACAGTATTATAAATCTTAAATGACTTACAATTATAAAATATTCTACAGTCAATGATTAAATCTTGTTGACAATGCAGCAAACTCCTTGGAAATGGCATTGAGAGCATGGCTATTACTGAGGCCTTTGGAGGTGAGTGTTTAATATCAGAATATATAGTGAACCATTAAAATATTTGGGATAATCAAGAACCTTTTTATTAAGATATCAGCAATCTAGCCAGTTCTTCCATGGTATTTCCTTACCTAGATGTCTAACGTTCATTGCCATGTCAGTGATAGTATTAATTAGATCTAGACTCAAGACAACATGTGATGACTGAAGAAATATCCATGACTTTGTCTTTGCATCAGTAATAATTTGTGCATTGATTTGCATTGTTTCCATTGTGTTGCATACAGAGTTCAGAACAGGGAAAACACAGTTGTCTCATACCTTGTGCGGTGAGTGTACATTCAAGTATAATTTCTATTAATCTGGTAGGATGGTCAATCTACAGCAATATATCTTGCTATTAGTAAGCCACCAATATCAAATTGTTTCCCAATGGTGTGACTTGTAACAACTTTTTTTTAAGGAAGCGTGATGTCCTCTGTCAGTTGCTTGGTTTGACCATGACATTTTTTTTGTTTCAGTGTCATGCCAACTACCAGGACCTGGTGGCTACTCTGGAGGAAAAGTTGTGTTCATTGACACAGAGAACACATTGTATCCTTCTGCTAATTTATCTACACCCTAGGGTGCCTAGATCAAGAGCATTTGGTAGCATTTTGCCAAATGCTACAAATACTATATGTTTTGTTGGAATGTTTCCTTTGCAGTATTGCACACATGAACTTAATAACTCCTTTTTTATATGCTGGAGAGTAACAATGTTCATTGCATTGTCTGAACCTTGACCTGTGTCTAGTCGTCCTGACCGTCTGAAGCCCATCGCTGACCGCTTCAACTTGGACCATGAGGCCATGCTGGACAATGTGCTGTATGCCAGAGCCTACACAAGTATGGCTAACATTAATGCCTGCACAGTGCATTCAAGGCCTTACACAGTAGTGAATATCATCATTAATAGTAGTCTGTTTGTAAGTATCCATGATAGAATGCTTTTCAGATCAATCATGTTTGTACTTGCAATTCAACAGGTGAACACCAGATGGAGCTGTTGGATTATGTGGCTGCCAAATTCCATGAGGAACCCGGAGTTTTCAAACTACTGGTAATTTCAGCAAATGGCTTTGATATACCGGTATTTACTTTTTTACAATGTTACTTTCAATCACAAAAGAGGGAATACAAATTCTTAACTGTCAGGTTAAATGGTGCTGAAGTGCCTTCCAATGAGTGCTTACATCAAACAAATCTTTTAATGAATGCTCTAATATTTGCAAACTTGTTGCATGTAAGTAATTCTCAGTTGTATGTCATAATTTTCAGTGAATCATATAACATTTGTTGGTAACTTGGATTCCTTTGCTCTGGTTGGCAAGTTGGGTTGCAGTACAGTGTAGACATGTATGATTGTCGTGGACATTTATCTGTAATACGTTGTGCTTTGTAACATGGTTTTTGCTTGTTTGTTTAGATCATTGACTCCATCATGGCCCTGTTCCGAGTGGACTTCAGTGGGCGGGGTGAGCTGGCAGACAGACAACAGAAACTGGCACAGATGTTGTCCAGGCTACAGAAGATCTCAGAAGGTAAAATCACGATAGGGTCATGTCACATGGAAAGCATTTTCTTCATACACTTGTCAGTGCAGCACTTTCAAATTTTGCTCATTCTGAAGTATTAAATTCAATATGGTGCCATTCACAAAGCTTTAGCACATTTTTCTAGACTCAGTGAGTATTGTACTGAATGTAAAAAAAATTATCCTATTCTTTCAGAATACAATGTTGCAGTGTTTGTGACAAACCAGATGACAGCAGACCCAGGAGCGACCATGAGGTAACTTCTCATCATTACACTTTTGTGTCGTCAAAGTCTTGTACATGTATCCCCCAATAAAAGTAAATCTATTTCAGAAATGTGTGTAACTACTCTATGGTCCACCGATGAGGGTTTTTTAAAAATGTCACATATGGTAAGTTTTTGATGGCTTCTCAATGGTCAGTCCACTTGTACATTGTTCGCTAATAGTTTCCAAGCAGACCCAAAGAAACCCATTGGTGGGAACATTCTGGCCCATGCCTCAACTACACGCATCAGTCTGAGGAAAGGCAGAGGGGAGAACAGGATTGCCAAAATCTATGACAGGTTAGTGCGAAGATGTGGAATTAAATACTGGTAGTACAGGCTAAACTTATCTTTATGTTGTTGAAAATACTGAATGTTGTGTTTTTAAGTCAGGTGTAGTTCAAATGATTGTCAGGATGTAACAGATAGTACAGAAGGTCATAAAGTTGTTGTATTTCTTGCAGCCCTGACATGCCTGAATCAGAGGCAACTTTCGCAATCTCCAATGGAGGCATCTGTGATGCAAAGGACTGAATATAGGCCTGCTTAGCTAAGATTTCCATGACCGTTTTGTGTAAGTTAGAAATTCATCATGGATTTCTTCTTACAACTGATAGAAATTTTGTCAGAATTGTTATTAGTTCACATTGATATTCCAGATGTTAGTTTGTAAATGGAATACTGTTGAATGTTTGAAATTTACGCTACAAAAGGAAATGGGAATTTTGCCATAAAATGTAAGAGTATTAGGATGCCTCAAATGATATATTCACTACTTGGAAAATATTTGGATGATAATAAGCAAAACAATGATGTAACACAGATGTCCCACTATATTGTTTTATTCGTCCTTTCATTCCACAATAAAAAAAATCTTAAACCATAACTTCTACTTTTCCCCCATAAGACATGCACACCAACCCTTTATAAACTTATAGAATACATAGAAAAATAAAGGTAGCATTTCTCTTGAAATGAATGGTTTTGAACCACAGTCTGCATGCATATAAACACCATTAAACCAAGCAGTATCTTTGTAAGGACACCCAGGGTCATACACATATATCTCTAGCTGCACTGTCTGTCTAATCTTTAATAGTACATGTATTTATTACAAAACAACTGAGATCCAAAACAACTGAGGCAAACAATAAAAGTTTTTCAGCTTACATGGTAGATTGATTTCTAAAGGTGTTGCGGTCTAATGACTAAAATTTGGATCCAACTGCACCAATGCTTGTTAATAAAGGACAACATTTTTATACTTCGCATTAGATTTTTTTTCCATAGGCGACAGTTGGATTTCAAAGAACTCCAATGGGCTAAAGAGCAAAGAAAATCAACCAGATAGAGCAGCTGTTTTATATCTTATGTATTATGTACACATATATTGATATTGCTAAGACATTGCATGCAAATATTAAATGATATTTCAGCTTCAATCTTCAAGAGATGAATAACAAAATTATACCGCATGTTAGTACATACTTAAAGTACTTCCATAGTTCAGAGAAATCAATTTACTTCACTGCAGTTCTTAGTTCTCATTTAAGATAGTCACATAAAGGTGGACAAAATACATCTTTGGATCTTTTTCAGTATGACTTACTTCCTATGAATGCTTTCTTCAACATATAATCTGGACTATAGGCACTTACGATGGAAGATACTATCTGCTTTTTTTTACAATAAATAGCAGTAAGTTTCCAGCCACACAAAATGTGGTAATAAAAAATGGTACATGTAGATATGAACAAAAGTATGAGTGAACAAGTGATACTAGTGGACCTGAGTCAGAACAGATTGGTTTCTTCTTTCCAATCCAAAGAACATGTCACATAAAGTGGCGATTTGGTTGAGGAATGACTATTGACTTGATGTGTTAGTTATTTTTTTCTTCAGCTGTCATGTATTTCTTCATGAATGTTATGCTGTAATACATCCACTCATGCTTTCTGTAACAGTTACAAACAAATGACACGTGTCACGTTAAAAGGAGAGATTTACCTAAGACTTGGATAATTTACTGTATCCCAAAATATTTAGAAAACATCAAATGAAAGACTTTCTTACAATATAGGCATATCTTTTCCCAATATAAAATATAAATAACTCCCAGTATACATTCAATTGCACCAAAAAAGAAACAAATTTCACACCCTCGAGCTCAAAATACATATTAGGCATTTCAAAAATAGTACTGCATCTTTCAATTTTGTTATGTGAGATTTAAACCAAAAATCAAAACAAAGTCATAGTTTTAAACCCTCTTTGTTCAAACATACCAGTGGTAGATTTGTAGTCTCTCATGTATAATTTATAAATAGCATTCAGAGTAATCTCTTAACACATCTGCATCCCAATCTTTCCACCATCTGCCGAGAGAGTGTTTTTGCTATTGTCTTTGAAGACAGCTTTCAGTGAGACTACTTTCCTATTCCCAGTTGTGTAAAAGCTTGAGAACTATCATGTGTTCTCCAACTCTGGTGTGGCAAGGCGTGGCCTTGGGTGACCTTACTTCTGTAGTATGCCGTGAACTCTGAACCTGTAGATACAGGTGTAGTCTGGGTTTCCATGGTTACTGAGAATGCGCAGCTCCACTATCGGGTATGGCTTTACATCAGTCACCTGCAGGGTGGCAAGGATGCACGGGAATCAGTAACTGGTTCAAATATAACACAGGCCAGTTCTCTTTAAAATGATTTCATTGTATACTTCAAAGACAGGTTAGCTTTTAAAGATACAGCCCTACCTTCCCTTGAAAATAAAACAAAAACATAGCTGTAATCTAAGTTTTTATTAAAGTCTGAGTATGTAGCACTAGTCAATCAAAAGTATCTTTCTACAAAGACTGGCATCCAATACTGCAAATGAATCAATCAGAATGAAGTCCTCCTACCTGAACAGGAAAGTACTGCAGAGGTTCTGCATTGTCATCATACGTGTAGTTCCCCAGCAGGTCTCCTTCGGCCTGAGTCTCATCCTCCAAGCCCTGAATTATAATTTGGACAAACTGTTAATATCTACGGAGCAAGGAACTATGGCTCTATCTGTCAGCTGACTCAAGCAAATCAAACTGTCAAAATCTGTTCTAAATAGAAAACGTAGTTCATACACAATGAATAAGTTCTTGGTGATGATACAAATCAATTTTTAAAAAGTTCCACTCCTAAACTCACATAGACGGTGAAGTCCTTTGGCGCACTGTCAATTTGACCAGTGGGAGACAGTGATTTGGGGATGTGCTCTAGTGAGAATGACGTTGGCTTGACCACTCCGGACAGTTGAATGACCATGTAACCCTCGCTGCCGCGGAATGCCCAGCAGTTGCCTGGATGGACATCAGGCTGAAAAAAAAAACCCCAACTTTGATAAATCTATCAATTAAGAAAACCAAACACTGCCACCAACAAATGAGTAGAGTAGGATTAGAACTCATAACCTTGTGATCCAGCACTACTTGACATTGTTTGCTATGGACAAGTGTGTGTTTCTTACTGACCTGTATGACAGTTCTTGGGGAGTTGGTCTTGTACCAGAGAGGGATTCCAAGAATGCTGAGCTGAGCAGACTTGGACTCGTAGGTTTCGGTACATCGCAGTGACAGGACACTACCACCTAGTGTGGGAAAATCACGCAACATCAAATACATGTACCTGCAAGTTAATTTGGTGAAAAAACAGGTTTAAAACCCATTGTTTTATGCTTATTTACCTGCTGATTCCAGTGCATGGTCCACCATACCGGTCTTGTCGGCGTCATAGATACCGATGTGCTTGTTAACAATGGCTCTGATCCTCTGCAAGAACAAGACATGCGAGAAGAGAACAAGGTTTACAAAATAGTAAGAACTTGAAGATATGTCTGAAAACACAACAGCTGACCTTTTCCTTGATGGCTAGCTCACACATTTTTCTAGCATAACAAAAAAATGTATAATTGCAAAAACACAAGCAGGTAGACCCCTCTTCTCTTGACCTGGAATCTACATGTACAACATGTCTCCCTTCATCAGTAAGCGCTCACAAACAAGGAAACCAAAAGCAACACCTCCGTACATGGTGGTAACACAAACCTCTTCATCCACTGTCACCTCCCCTGCACTGGTCCGGCTCACGCTGGTCTCCACCTTCAGTTTCTGGGAGACATTTTCTGTCACCCTGGAGACAATGTCGTTCACTTTGCTGTCAAAGTCAGACTGACCCACAAAGCGCGACTTGAGCCAGCTGACCAGCGCAGACGAGTCCTCCTGGAGAGCCTGCTGGACGGTGATGGACAGCTGCTGCTCAATCTGGGACATGAAGAACAGCACGTTATGTTCAAGGTCATAATGATATCAGCAAGTTACACAAATAGTTTGATAAGAAAAACACAATGTAACTTTACCATATCAGTGTACAGTCCTACATACAAACTTAAGTAGTTTGCACTGAAATCATGTATTATATAACATGTACTAACAATATGGAACAAAAAAAAACACTAAAGGGAATGGTACACTGTTTAAACTGTTTATTCATCATCACAACAAAGTACACCAAAGTACACCAATGACGAGGGTGAGAAGAGACGTGGTGTCTGACCAGTGAGATGTTCATGCTGTATTTCTTGAGCTCCTGGTGGTACATGTCTGACTGCTGTTGTACACGGCCCAGCTCCATCTTCAGGGAGGCCAGCTCACTCTCCAGCCGATGGATGTGCTCTAACATGTCTGAAGACGTGCCCACTCCACCATTGGTCTCACTGAGGAGGGAAGAACCTTTGTTAGAACACCTTAAAGACTTCAGAAGCCTTTTGCAGAGAAAGGATTGTGCATGGCTGTGATGCTTTTTATATGGAAGTGTTATGCAATTAGACAATGTTTGATAAGGTTAAGCTAAACAAGGGAACATTGATGCATTCTGAGTCAAATGCACATATTGAACTCATGTTTATCAAGAAAAGAAACTGCTAGTCATGATCTTAACCCTGACATTTCAGTACTTACAAAGTCTTCTAGCTGACTGAAATTACCCTGCGGGATAACAAGGAATACTTCAACTTACACTTTGATTTTCTGCTTGGCCTCAACAAGTTGCTTGGTCAGGTCCTAGAGAGAAGACACGTACATGAATGCTATTAGAAAACCAAATGTATTCCATGCAGAAGAAGCAGCAAAGATTCCTGTATAAGACACAAGTGGTCTTATTTAAGAGCTCTAACCTCGGAGTGGCTGTTGATTGTCTGCATCTTGATTTCCAGCATGGCGAGCTGGTTCTCTCGTTCTGTGCGTAACTTGTCCAGGTCCGCCAGGATGGCCTGGTCCTGGACAGACACGTCCTTACGGAGACCCTCCATGTGTTCCTTCACGATCGCAGTGATGAGAGCGATGATCTCGTCTTTATCCATCCCTCCAGCCATGGCTGCCGCTGAGGCACCTGGGATAGAATCCATGGTCAAGAAAGTTTAATAGCTGCACTTTGGACATGGGAATATTTTTTCTTCTCACCAGCTACCAACCTTTAGACCTTACTATGACATACAAAATCTGCTTCAAACATTAGAAGCACCAACACCCTATATATGGTGCATGTTGTATGAAGGGTTTGCTATACCACAACCACAACCTTACACCTAGGAAGCCAGCGATCACAGATATTTACTTTGCAGAAGATTTTCAACTTTTTCAACATTTCCTGCCCCTCCAGACATGGAAGCTTCAGCTGTGGATGGAAATACGGTATTGTAATGATCAATGATGATAATGATTTTTTTTGTTACCACTTTTTCAAAGGCAGCTGTTTCTATCACTAAAAATGTATACAACGTGCCCCACACCAAATCAAACACTAAAAAACATGGAAAGCAATCAGCACTGGCGATATCAACTCCAACTTGCATTGTCTGAACCTTTCTCCAAGCATGAGGTCACAAATATATATTTTCACCTCATAGAAAAGCTTACATTTTCCATCAACAACTCCTGCTGCTTTAAAGGCACATCCTCCAGCTGTGACAAGAGGATCGTAACATCTCAATATTGTATGGGAAAAATTCAAGGTTTAAATTTTAAGAGAAAAAGACAAAATCTTAGTGTGTCGTTACCAGTGACACATAATACAAAGGATAAACCAGCACAGCATAGACGTATATAATGGTAGAGACTCTGATCTGATCTCTGTTTGGATTGTCTCTTGAAAGAAACTTGATTGGGGTAGAATCGCTGATCATACCATATCGGAGTCTCTATACCATCTAATATAGTCTGTAACATATACATTTGATACAGAGAAAAAGGACTTCCATTGCTCTAAATCTAAATCTTCATCAGTTACCCCTGTAATACCTACTTTGTGTGCTGACTGCATCTGGGATCTGGCTGCCAGCCTGGGAAGACTGCTCCCATTTCCTCACCACGTCAGCGACAGTAGCACTCAGCCTCTGGATCTCTGTCCGCATCTCTGAGCGGATCTGTTCTGCCCTAAAGTCATTCAGCACCTGGGGGGAGAAGTCAGGATTCTGCATATTGTCTAAAGATGTGTAGATGTAACTACTGTATCTAAAGCAGAGAAACACAGTCAAGAAATCTTAACAAGATATCTTTTCTTAGATCCATTGTCTAAATACTAGTGACCACCTGTGAGCACTTTTTGGTTGTCCCTTAGATACATACTAGTATGTAATTTTGTGTTTTTTTTTAATCAATAAGGTAGATCTACATGTACCTTTACCACTAATACATGCTGTTGTTATAAGTAAATGCACATATCTTCTTCTTCTTCTTTTTGGGTACCCTCGAACAACCCCTGTACGGGGTATCACTGAGGGGGGGAAGCGAACTGTTTCATGTAGGATAATTGTTTCTCATGCTTTTAAGCTCCATATTAGCATTCAAGTCAGGCTTATTCAGGCACCCCATGCTTCCCCATGCACCTTTTCATGCATAGTCATGTGCAGACCACGTACGGGTGGACCAGCTCCTGTTGAGGAGTACCAGGGCAGCCAGGCCAGCAGGGCTCCGGGGGTGGAGGCCACAGAACTCACTATACCTGTCAGGAAACTCAGGGGCCACAGATAGTACAGAGCTGTAGAAAACCACAACACAAAGGATTTAGTCAGTATCTTTGGTTTTGCCACCAACTCACAGATATTCATTTTATACCATTGTTGTAAATGATAGGATAGTGAGTGAGTGTGTTGTAAAACAGTTATAAAACATTGGCATCTTATCTGGCAACGTGAATCCTTCAAATCATTGTTGGTTTCAAACCTTTACAAAAGTTGATCACTTCTGGTCCATTATTTACGTGCATAAGTGTTAAACCTATTCTACTGTAGTAACAAAACAAATAATGGCAATATGAGTATAACTTGTACTACTGTACCACTAGGACTAGTCAATATGTTGTGATGAAGACTGACCAAGCAGCAGCAGCAGTAGTAACAGTGGCAGTAGCAGGAGCCTGAGGGGGAAAGCTGCTGCCACAAACACTGGACCTTTCCTGTTCATGATGGTGTTCTTCAGGATGGTTACTCTAAAAGAACAATCATACAGACAGAGGGTTGTTAGCTAGTAAGTATTTTGATGATATATTTTAGTTTGATTTCAAGGTTACCACTGGATGCCCATTCAGGTCATTGACAAAACCCAGGCCTCCGATTATACTTCCTGTAAAAGTAATGATGCATATAGACTACATTTTGAATACAAGTGCTGATTGTTTTAAGAAGTATTTCTTCAGACAGTTGTTGTACCCACCTGGAGAGAATCCAGGCGTCCAGCATCATGACAGTGGTGACAAACCAGTAGACAGGTGTTCCCACCAGCCACCACATCCACCAGAACAGGCCAACTACGCACGGGAGAGACACAGAACAGGTTAGGCTCTCAAGGGATGCAACTTGTTTTATCCTAAAACCCAATCTTGCAAAAACAAGATGCCAAAATACACTACAGTCCTTATATAACACACACCAGAACTGCTTTACACTGATACCTTAAAACCAGCAACAAACCATGCAGCGTCTAAACCTTCTCCCTGCTGCCTAACCCAGTAACTTACACAAATTTTGTCCCTAACAGCTATCTTAGCAGGCTGAAGGTTAAAATTGCAGAACCTTCCTTTCAATATGAGACTCACCTTCCAAGATAGACAGTTGTACCTTAAGGTAAAGCGACACAAACCAAGTTGGTGCTATCTATACCGGTAAGACCACATTTGCAGGGCCCATTGGATACACCATTCAAGAATTTTTTCACAGCGCCTTCTCTGGCTCATGGCCATTGAACTGAACTGACAACCAGCCTTAGAACGCTGTATCCCTTCAGCCCTGCCTCCCAAGCTACATCTACTGCATAGAACCCTGCATCCCATCTTCCCACAATATCCGCAGCCCTATAGTCTACACAGAGTAACAGACCACTTATGCCCTGGCTTACGTATCACCACAATTTTGGTACCTTTCTGTTTAGATCGAGACTTAAACTTTCCAACAGATACTCCTAAAAGGTAGAGACAAAACATCAAACTCTTTGTCAAGAAACAATTTGAATCCCCATACCATTTTGTAAAAGTAGTTTAACATGATACTAAAATTGCATTACATGTTAGGATGGACATTTGAAGTTCAAGATCACACAAGGAAACAGAAATAACTTGTGTGAGAACTGTATGAATACATACCAAAAGGCATTGTTACCATCTCCCATATGGTAAGTCCCCCAGCTGCCTCACTAGTGCTGTAGGCTGAGTCGGAGTAGTCTCCATACTCCCCATCAGACTCATAGGACAGTCTGTCCTGGGTCACAGACTCAGACTCTATAGACAGACAATACAGACATGTCAGGAATATGCTGTTTTGTCAAACAATAGCAGCTTTCAGATTTTTTCCTGATAAGTATAGAAATAGCTTAAGTTTAATATATAATATGTAAATGTTGATTGAACCAGCTTTTTGTGTCATTCTGAAACATGACTGATGGTTAGGAATCATAAAATCTAGTTACATACTGGTATGAAAAATACTGCAACATTAGCACAGCAAAACTGATTGGAAATGAACTCAGCAGATTTGAATCAACTGTGAAGGGTAATGTTGCAAATTCAGTAAGTTAACAAAACAAAATGGACTTGGAAAGGCTTAAAAAGGTTATGGTGAGTGATAAAAATCCTTTGTTAAATTTCTCTTCTGTAAGAACTGCTAAAAAAAAAACTAAGAAAAGAACTGTCAACAGAACAAACACAACATTGGGTCAACATATTACTGATAGAACTGCTCACCAGATGAACCTTCCTCATCTTCATCTAGCCCTGTGATTCCAAAATATTTTGAATTTTAAGAAACAATGGCTTAAACAATAGACTGATGGACATTTTGAAGTAAACAAGAAATATTTTGTAATGTACTCTGATATTTCTGCTGAAGTACATGTAAACAATTTCCAGGTGGTTCTTTCAGGCTAAGTAGGACGTTATGATGCTCCCTCAGAAAAACAACTTCTTGGTCGAATCATCTTTTTCTGAACAATATCTAACAGTTATTCAAAGTTACATGATCGAGAAGAAGCCTATGTCAGGTTTTGTGATAGATATAATAATGTTGTATAAATTCAAATGTGTATTTCCACTGACTGAATGACTGTCCAGACCTACACTGGCAGTCACAACTTACCATACAGTTTGGAGAGAGTCTTCTCAGAAGCCATGGATTTCTCCGTGGTGCCGTAGATGGATCCCGCCATGACGTCAGACTTGCCGCTGTGTCTCCTCCTGGCCCTGTTGGTACTGCGCGACTCTTTAGTCTTACTCTCCGAGTAGCTGTAGGAACCCTCCGTAACGCTGTCTTCAATGATGGAGTCATCAAACTTGGACCTGAGTACAGGGTTAGCAGAAATGAGTCCTTTGCTGAACACTGCATAGACTCTGTAGATTTAGACTATGACATGCATATATTCAAAGCTTCTACACTGTGAGTTTACAGATGTTCTCTGATCCTTTGACACAAGAAGTAAAAATTCTTCCCGTACCAGATGGTACATAAAGCAGTGCCCATCTCTGGTTCAATGGCCTTGGGCCACACAGTTGCCAGTGATAGTGGTGTGTGTTCAACTCCAATACCAGTACTCTTTCTGAATGCTGAGTGCTAAGCAGTGAAGTACCATTTTTTGGACAGTGTCAGTACCTACCAAATGCAAGGCGATCACTCTACCCACTTGGCCATTGCACCAGTGGTAACTAATAAAGTATATATATTCCAAATCTTATCTACCATTTTGTAGACAACCAAACCCTATGGTAAAATATATAAAAAGTTGCTGGTTTTCTCTTACTTAGAGCTGCCCCTTAGTCCTCTTCTCATCATCTTAGGCGTGTCATAAGCCTCCTTGAGGGTGTCCAGGTCCTGTACCTCCTCCACCTCCTGTCTCTCCTGCCACCCCAGCAGTGAGCGAAACTTCCGCAGGACGTAGATGGGGAAACGGTAGCTCCCACTGGCAGGGAAACAACACTGTTATCTCTTCAACAGGAACTGTTAGGAACTTCAAATATAAATACTGGTACCCACTTTATTCTGCCATTGTCCTGCCTTACTCTCAGACAAGGTCAGTGACAAATTGCTCTTTTTCATACTACATGTTTCATACTACAGACTAGTACAGTGTCTAATAAAATGTAATACAAAAGACACTATCATTGCTATAGACAGCCAGTGATATTATATGCTGAAATAAGACCAGATCAATTTATGTTTTACATTGTGTTGTGGAACGTTTGAGTAAATGTATGAAAAAGAAACCAACATTTTCAGACTGGTAGTCATAAAGTTAGTCCAGTTAATTTTGGTCGAAGATACTTCAAAGAAACACTGGCTTTTGTTAGTACGTATTGGTAGCAAAATCAAATAGAAGCCAAAGATGTTAACATACTTATTAATACAATGTAAAAAGTGATATAGCTTCCACCTGGATCACACTACTGTATATCTTACCATTGTTCCTTACTAATCCTTAGACAAAAGATGTCCAGAGACAACAAGCATGCAGATCACAGATCGAGGTCTATTATGTACAGAACAGGACTGGGGACTGCCACCAGAATGGATTATAGGATGAACCCCATGTTGTATAGATTTTTCAGTACCGATAGTAACCTACTACTAGAATCAGGAGATGCAATACAAGAGATTGGAAAATCAAAAAGGATAGACTGTATAGAAGTTCTACAGTGTAGCCATGTTTCCTACAAGAATGCTACAAAATCAATGAGAAACATGTATGACTGTATACTTCTATTTTCCAAGAGCCCTATTTGCTTGCTTTTAGTATGACAAATATAAGAATATGTTGTGGATCAGATAGCCTTGATAAAGCACTGAGTTAATAAGACAGACAACCATATATCCCACTGATTGAACAAGCACCACAAGGGTATTTAAGACAGTCACTGACTATATCAGTCTATAGAGTACTCAGCATGCAGCCATGCAGGAAGAAAGAACCTTTCCTCGTAACCTTAAACCCTGAAAACCCTGACAACATATGACATGATCATACCCCAGCACACGTCTGATGACACCGGGCTGAGTAACATCTTTCTTCTCATACACCTCAACATACTCCCCATTACCACTCACAGATAAACTAGCGCTGGGGGGAAAAAAGGATGCATAATTTTCATACAACTTTTTTTCTAACCACATGTACAATATATAGGTTTTCACAAAGTGGCAAACAGCATATATTCAATTACATGAACCATGTTGTGTTATTTCTTATGGCTACTTATATTTAGAACAAAACAAATGTCCAAATGGCTTAAAAAAAAAAAACTTTCATGGCCAAATATACATCTACACCATAGTGCAATTGATGTGTATTCTGAAACATAGGAGGCATTTTCAAAATAAATTAATATACAAAATTAATGTATTAACTTGAAGCAAAATAAAAGGTAGAATATGACTTAACAAACCAATGTTGACAAGACTCTAACCTAACAATAGCCCAGGTATGAGTTTTCTCCTTGGCTGCCCTGGGTAAATCCAGGAGGTTAAAGAGAGTAAATTAACCCCCTGGGACAACAAACACTACAGGGGTAGGGTCAACAACCTTATTTACAACTTCACACCTCTTTGATAACGACCTCAATAGACTTGTGCTGAACTAAATAAAGCCAGGGAAGTCCATTTAACACACAAAGCTGAATACACATTTCTTTGAATTCTTGATTCACTTATGGAAAAGGTACTAGACTAGTATAATCATAATAGGGCATTGACAGAAATCCTTTACACCTTTTGGCAGATACACTAAAAAAAAACTAACTTAAGTAATGATATTACACTGCAAACCTTCCTTCCTTCCCATCAACATTAGCCACACGACCAGCATCTGTAGTAACTGACAGACAACTTCTATGCAATTCATCCTAGCATAACAACACAAGCAAGTTGACCCTGAAACAGAGTGACTGGAGCTTTGCATACGGATGATACTGGATCCTATTCATTTGGTTAGACAACTGGCAGTCTGGATGGTAAGCCACAAATATTTGTGAAAACCCCATAACTGGTGGGACTGGTACTATTTTCAGATGTGATGCACAAACCTGAACTGAAGACCTCTGGAAAACTCATCAACATGCCAGTGACTTTATTTTCACCACACAACAAAGAACTCATATGGATGTATGTAAGCTCTACTTCAGTATATGATGTCTTAAATGCTTTCTTGTCCAAGGTCTGAGGAAGATGTCTCAAACTAACTATTACAGAAAATTACCATAATACTTGATCTGTGTAACCCTTACCAGAGAACTCCATGCAGAGACAAAGTACATGTAGGCCAGTTTGAATGTCAGGCCAGGTCAACCTGTTGATATGTTGGGAATGTTATCATGATTCTGTGACAGTAGCTTGTTTATCTACACCTATGGAAGTCATGTCATCACTTGGGTAAGGTTGGAAACCTTCAACACAGGGACGTGACTTGTTACAGACCAAGCCTTTAGAGCATGCTGTAAAACTAATCAGAGACACCTGTTTGGGCTACCATTTTTACAGCCTGGCCACACAGAGCAGGCAACAAATCACAAAATGTCATCATCACTGAAGTAAAAAGAAGTATCGTATTCAAAGATCTGTTTCAGCCAAGAGTGTTAACATTTGGAAAGGTCTAGTAGAATATCTTAAAACCTATCACATGTAGTTGCTGCTATCTGCTTTTATCCTGTTATCTACTTTTATCCTACACCTACTTGACTTTTAATATCTGCTGCATCAGGAAACCTAATATCAAAGCTGTGAATTTCTTTTATACTTTAACACAATGTCACAACAATATACATCAGTATATACACCACTTCAAGCCCATGTATACATACTGGCCATGTATGCATACTTTTAACTTTTAGTATGTAAACATGACCTACATTGTAGTACCCTCTACTGTTTGAAGATTCTGAAAATAGAGCAGTGTTATAGGAGGGTCTGCATGGGGGGGTCCTGGCAACGGTTAACGGTGAATTCAGCAGGGCCGATAACGCTTAACGGTAAATTCAGGACGGTCGGCAACGCTTAACGGTAAATTGACAGACTTTTCTTTCGTTCGAGCTGCACTGGATTTGGTATCTCGCTTTGTGAGAAAAGGTGATCACTGACAAAATTACGTATATCTTACATGTAATGAAGCACGCATTAAAGGTATGTGTTCCCTGTGTTCCCCACATGCCCTGGTCCCCGAGTGCGTCCACAAATAAAGGGGAGTCCGAGTTGACGTCGGCCAGCTTGCATTTTTTCAGTCTGCCCAGTGGATTTTGAGAGGGGAGCGTCGTAATCTAGGGGGGGGCGGGGGAATGCTCCCCCGGGAAATTTAGGATTTTTAAGCCTTCAAAAACGCAATTCCCACATTTTGAGAGGCAAATCATGGTGTTGAGAGTGTTTGTCGGTCCTTCTGACGTTTTCATATTTTACTCAAGATTTTTGTTAATTTGCCTGTCAAGGTTGACGGATTCTTGAAAGAAAATTCTGTAACTCTCCGCAAACTTCCGGAAATTGACAGGAAAGCTGGTTCTGGCTAGAGCCGAAGGGACCGAGCGCAGAAGTGCGAGTCGAGCGCCAAAGGCGCGAGCAATGTAGGGGGGTCCGGGGGCATTCTCCCCCGTGAAATTTTGTATTTTGAACCTTCAATGACGCATTTTCCTGCACTTTGAAAGGCAAAATTAGGCGTAACGAAGAATTATTCATTAACGCTTAACGCTGAATTTAGGATGACAAATAACGTTTTACGTTGAATTAAAACGACCAATAACGCTTCACGAGGAATATACTGATAACGCTTAACGTTAAATTAGAGCGGGCCGGCAACGATTAACGGTAAATTAAAATAGCCCATAACGGTTAACGAAAAAGGGCATGCAGACCCTCTTATAGTTCCAGAACCTTCAAACAGTAGACTGTAGAGAGTACTATTATTTGGGTGCATTACAGCAGTAACCATACTGTTGCATTTTCAACAGCCACACCCTTTCTACCATGTACATGACCTTTGGAATAGAGCCAACCATCCAGGTCATTCCATATAGGAAACTGATTTTGTCTAAGTAGGTCATTTTAGACACAGACATCAACGTCAGCAAATGGAAAATGCATCTTTAGAGTTACCATTAAATGTTAAAAAGTATGATTAATATCTTATGATTAGCATCTCTAAGAAGATAAAATCATAATACAAAAACCTTAAAGTATTGGTTTTAATCAACATAACATTTGGAGAATTGTGATGTGACGATACTATAGACGGAGATACAGAATCTTTCTGGTCTTGAAATTTACCTTTAGTAAGGCAATCATACACAAGATGTCTCACATAAATGGTTACTGCATTAATTTAGAGTTACAATTACAATAACAACCATGGCCAACTTATCTACATGTATGTAGCTGTTTAAGGTTATACTGCCCAAATCTAGCCCACACTATGTTGTCTATCTGGAGAGAAATATAAATCCACAGATGCTGAAAGGGAAACTTGTACCAGCAGACAGATGGAGGTAATATGGCAGCCTCCATCATCCCATGTGGCATACAAATTCAGAAACTGCAGAGGTCACTGTGTGTGGGTCAGTGATGACATACACTCACCCCATTCAGGATAACACACTGACAAAACCAGCTGCCATGCTTGGTCTTTCATTTCAAAAGGAAAGGATCCATAGACAGTTCACAGAGGTATTTCTATTTGATAATCGAAAATGCTTTGTACGATTAGCAATCACACATCACACTGTCAGTTAAAAAAGCCACTGCACATCTATTCTTAATTAGTATTACTGTATTAGAAAGAAGTGATCACACATGTAAGTGATCATACCCTAGTGATGTATCTATTCAGTAATAATAAAAAGGAAGACGTAACAACATTGGGCAATTTGGGAGAAAGGATAGGTAAAACAAAATTAAAAAAAAAATGGTAAAGATGTCTAGAGTAAAACAAAGTTAAGATGGATAAAGAATCTCTTTAGACTTTAGGAAGATTGTCTGATGTAAACTTAACATAATAATGAAGGTAAGAGAGTAAAGCGATAACTTTGGCACTGAGATACGGGGAAAGGGAGGATGGGCTCTGAGGGGAGGACAACGTTGCAGGAGTGTGGACGCAGGTACACCGTATCGAGAGGGCATTCTGGAGAAGAGCTTACCTCTCAGAATAGGTGTATCCTGTATCCTGGTAGTCTTCTTGTGATCGGCTACACGCGTCATACACGGGTGGGGAATAAACATGCAGGAAAGAGAAATCCATTTTGGCACGCAGTCAGTTAGCTACATTTTCCAATAGTCACTTCACAATGTGGGGTCCATACACATCCCTTCTGCATCCTCCCATATGGCTTTATGTGACTGGCAGTTAGATGGGGGATGGGGAGGGAATACCAGGTGATGGCTATAACACAGCACACCCACAGCACTGATAGTGTGCTTCTGATGGCACACCATAAATGACATGGTCGTGGGGGGGAAGCGCCATTTAAATAACACGTGCTTAATGTGTGCGACTGGCCTCCAGCGAATCGCTGGCTGCCAGGCTGCCTACAGGGGCATGTGAAATATTCTGATGGGGCCAGCTGTGGGGGAGAGCAGCCCAGCAGCCAATCACGTCTCAGTATTGGGGTCACTATGAATATTAATGACTACAACACTGGAGGACTGATGCTAGGAGATGGTCAGATGTCAGCCCCTTTGTTTGAACAGTCAACCACTTTTATCACTTTGAAGCAAAGAGAAATTTCAGACTTGATGGACCATGTAATGAACAGGAGCCACAGAGTAGGAAATTTCATATTCTATATCCTCCATTCCAATAGGAATGGTCTACTGCAGAGATGGACTTCTTTCTGCAAAACTGTATGAAAATATACATACATAAAAAGATTGGTTCATAAAAAGACTTCAAATACAATGTTCCCATTCCTTGGGAAATTGAGTTATGTGCAATCTCAATGAATTAAATAGTGATTTTGTATTTTGTGACTGAAAAAAACACTACTAACATCGATCTGACACAATAAATACAGTATCTAAAAAAAAATAATGAACTTGATGCAGGTACACCTTTAGTGTGTTCCTAATACTATTACCACTGAATATGCAGTTGGACAAATCAAATGGTCTGCGTAGGCATGTCTAGTACATTGTTTTTATCTGTCTGCAAACATTTGTCCTAAACAAATTAGCAATGCAGCAGACACCAACACCCTTCAACAAACACTTAAAACTGATGACCTTTTCAGCATGAGTGACATGTTATGGTCCATTTAGACTTGACATGACCGATGACCTTTGCTTGAAACCAAATATTCTGGGTAGTACAATGGCTCTGTCAACAGCTAACTCCTGACCCTACCCTGAACAAAAACCACACCCACACATAGCTAACATTCCCCATCCCCCCACTTCTGACCACCTACCTGTGTTCCACAGAACTGTGGCCACCTTCCTCCTTGTTGACAGTTGCCGTGGTTACGGTGGTTTCCTTGGTAACAAAGCTGGAGGGAGCTGCAGCTTTCCTGGGTGTTGATGCCAAGATGCCACCTGTGAGTCCCAGACTGTGGGCGGAGACGTGCTGGGAGGAGGTCGATGTTTGAGTGATGAGGTTTTCTGAAGACGTCAGCTCTCTGGCCGAGGACGAGCCTAGAGAAGATCCTCGTTTTTGAGAAGACCGCGAACCCGAGCTGCCGACCACGAGCAATCCGGAGCTGCGCCCGCTTCCTCCGCGTACCAAACCTGAGCCGGCGCTGGACAAGGTGGTGGCTGATTGGGTGAGAGCTGTTTCGGAGGTGACACCTGTTACGACAGCTCTCTCCGATGCGGACGATCCGTGACTACTGCTCTGAACGACACTTCTCCTGCCGCTAGAGCCACGAATGGAAGAAGCTGTGGAGCTGTGGCTGGCAGAACCTTGTATGTAAGACGTAGAGCCACCTTCCTTTGTCGAACTCTCCGACTGTGTGGTATCGGTAACCAAGGACTGGGTAGAAGTGCCACTTGTAAGAGCTGAAGAAACTGTGCCACCCACCAACAGTGCACTACTTCTCCCACTCCTGCTGCTGCCACTACTGCGACCACTTCCACTCCTTGTAGAAAGTGTGGCGCTGGTTAGAGTATCGCCAACAGCGGCCTGGCTTGCAGAGCTGGAGACAATCAAATGCAAACATCACCTTATATCAAACAAAGGCATTTTAATGATCCCTGAGTACACACTTATGTGAGAAGGTCATGGTCCACTGAACACAAATCAATGAACATTCTTGATTTACTGCCAAAGTTTGAATAGGTGCTGTAGACACAATGAACGTTACCTGCAGAATACACCAAACACTGTTAGTGAATACATTAAAAATGGAACAAAACCATTTGAAACTGATTCAAGTCAGAAGTTCAAGTCCAACACCTGCCAAGTTGATTCTCCTCATATTATATATATAGTCATAATTTTGATAGAAAAGTCAGATTAATTCTGATAAGGAGCTTACTGGTAAGGAAACACACATTAAGTCTGACATACCTCTCTACTGCACTGCTGGAAAATCCGTTGACAATTCCAGAGCTGCCAGCAACTGTAGATGTTTCAGAGGATTGCCTGGGGGACATAATGAACAACGTCAAACTTTTGAATGATCACAAATACTTTTTTACCTAAATGGCAAAAGTTGTTTCTGCTTTATTCCGACAAGTTTCTGTGTTAAACATTTCCCTGCTGCCTACCCCATAATAGTGGAGAATTCATAGCCAAACGGCTACTTCGGTGTAAAGGTAAAGAAATGTGTCTGGTCATCTAGGAGATTGCTCTGTTGGTAGAAAGAATCAGCAAATAAAATATTCTAGTTAAGAAAGAATGTATTCATGTATAATTGTATTATTTCTGAAAAATGTTCTGATACATATAAGATACTTAGTATATTAAAGTTAGTTCTGAAGATGATAAATGCATTACATTGTGAAGAATGTGAAGTACAATACCACATAAGCTGCCCTAAGGTACAACAAAGATGCATGGGGGCTGGGAGATTTAGCTGTGTGTTCAGTTGTACATGGTGCATGCCATCATTAATTGGCAGTAGCTCGTAGCCTGAGCATTTGTGTCCATGTACATGTATACAAATTCCCACGTGGATGACAGACACTCCAATAGGACATGCAGGCACGGTTGGTATTACCTGTCATCAGTTCACAGTTAGAAGGACTCTTCTTTTAATACCTTTGTTTTCAACAAATGATGGATGCTGAGGTTGGGCTTTGCTGGCCAATCCACCATGCATCCATGCCTGATTGAATTACCCCTATCTAGAACACTGAGGTGGAAGGTTCCTTTCCGATATAACAGGTACAGAAAAGACATTGTAAAGCACTAAACAAATGCATCTCTCATTTTAAACTGGGTAACTTTAGAATATTGTTATTACAATATTGCTGCTGTAGGTCCACATACAAAATGTAGGGATTCAACTTCAATTTCTTTTAATATCATTCATCTGATCCGCTATAGATATCACTTAACAACTGTGTATTGTAAGCAAACACACACACACATACGCACACACACACACACACATACACACAGGGAACACTTGTATCAAGGGCAATGGGCAATAAATAATTAAGCAGGGAAAGTGCTCATGATTTTTATACTAGCTGTCAGGGTCACCAAAATGTAATCCTTTCAAGGCAAGGCCTAGTAATAATAACTTTGAAACACATACTATTGAATCATCTTCAATTTGAATACAAAGGAAGTTTTGTACATCGATCCAACCTTGTACAGCAGCCTTCTCAAAACAAGCCGGCTACCGGCGAAAATCGCCGCCTACTCAAATTTTTGCGCCGGCTAGAGTCTACTTTCGTGTAAATTTTCAGAAAAACAATGTAGTCTCCATTACATTTTCTCACAAACTCCACCGGCTCATTTCTTCTGACGAACTTCAGACAATTTTCTGCTAGCTTTCTGGATCTGAAAACTGCTTCTTTCTTAGCCTCCTGTGCAGATTTCTAGTGCACGAGTCATCGTTTGCTTCTCAGCGGCCCGCGGCCAGAGCGGCCGAAACTTTACGGGGGGAGGGTCTTGTTCGGGGCTCGAGTTGAATCGGCGGAGCTGTATCGCTCGAGCTAGGCGGAACTTGCTTCGTAAACTAGTTGCTCACGAAAATTTATCAAGCCGCTACCTTCCCAACTTCTCCCGGCACTAGTAGTATTCCTGCTACAAATAACTAGTACGAATCACGTCAAAAAAATATCAAGACATGTACAGACAATTCTGTGGTCAAATGGAGATGGTTCCATCAACCAACCAAACTGTGATGCTGGGAAATTCTTAGACGCCACTAGAGATGTATACTTGTACCAACATGTGGATTTCGCAACCAGGTACCAAATTAATCAAGAAAATAATGTGTTAGACCTTGTCTTCACAAATGAGATGAGCATGATAGACATGGTTACGATGAGACCACCAGTTGGAAAGAGTGATCATGCTATGTTAGTGTGGTCTTTTAAATGCTACGCAAAGAAAGATCACATCAGAAAGGAAATCCCGCTATACCATAAGGGCTTATATGACAATATGAAAGAGGACTTACAAAAAGACTGGAAGAAAATCTTTAGTAACCTTGACATTGATGAATGCTGGGATACATTTACTAAAGCCCTAAAAGAGACAACGAACAAGAACATTCCCATAGCCAAACCCTCAAACAGAAGAAGAAGGCTTTCATGGAAAGACAATGAAACTACAACAAAAATGAAAAAGAAACAGAAAGCATGGAAAATGTATATTCAAACAGGAAAAAAAGAAGACTACATAAAATATACAAGAATGCGAAACCAGGCGCGCTGGGCGTCAAGAAAAGCAGTAAAAAAACACGAGAAAGAAGTGGCTATGAACATCAAAGGAAACATCAAATTATTCTGGAAATATGTAAATAAAAAATCAAAGACTAGAGACAGCATCCCTGACCTAGTAGACGGCGACAGAACTGCCAGAACAGATGCAGAAAAAGCAGAGGCACTAAACAAATTTTTCATAAGTACCTTCACAAAGGAAAACACACAGTTTATCCCCACATTAGAGCAAAGAGACTACGAAGAAGAACTGACAGACATACAGATAAACCCAGAAGATATCTGCAAAAGAACT